AAAACAAAACAATTTCAAAAAGAGTGTCCCAAAATTACGAAGTGTGTTTCAAAGAGGTGACTCGGAACCTTCATATGTCTTTCAGCTTGCTGAATATTAAAATCTGGCATAGAGGGAAGCCCAATATAGTACGTCAATTCCAACTAAAGTGAACCAAAACGCACCCCAGTTCTCAACTGGTATTCGATGTAAGATTGATGGTTCTTGAAAGGATACGGACCAGACCTCAGGGATGGGGTGGATATGCAGTGAAGAGGACCAACCTCTGGTACTCGGTGCAAGAGGACAACAAAGATGTCTACCACCATTGCATTTGGAGATGGAAACTTTGTTATGAGCAATAAAGTCCATATTAGAGAAACAATTGTGTTGCCAACTTTTTTTAAGACGGACTGCTATGAGCTGGTTAATTTGATTTAATATCCAGAAGTATGATTTGCTTTTTCCATTCCCATAGATAGGTTTGGTGATCTCGTTTCTCGTTTCTCAAATTTTTCATTATCATTAATTAACATTCTCTTAACAAAATATATATATTGTTTAGTCCGGTCAGCATGTTCGAAGTTGATTAATAGTCGAAACTTATTTTAATGAAACGAATGGTCGACGAAAAAAAGAAATATGAATTGGAGTTTCGATGTTGTAAAAGAAACTTACCTTTTCGGATCTCCCGTCTAAAAGAAACAAAAGGTCTCCAAGATGCATGGAAAAAGGGCACATTCGGAATGCAGAAAAGTGGGGAAGAAAGATGCAAATAAAATAGGGAGAAGAATCACACGTTCCCTTCCCGGATTCAACTTTTACAAATCTCATGTGTTTTTTTTGGTTTTTAGCATTTTATCTACAAAAATTTAATGTTATTTTCAGCATTTAATTATTTAAGAAATATCCTTCTCTTTTTTTTTTTGAAATATTTAATTTTTCTTCTTCTTCTCTCTTGAGCGTTTACCAACCAAATAAAAGAGGGCAAAGGTGGTAGATGCATGAGCCTCTCAAACTCCATCACAAACCCAAACTCAATAACTCTTCTCTCTCTTCCTTTTGGTTCAGTAACCAAAAAAATTATCCACAAGTATAAAACACCTTGATTTCACTTAACCACCTTTGCTCCTTTTTCTCTCTCTCTCAGAGTCAGAGGTAATCTCAATTGTTCCCTTTTTCTTCTCAAATCTTCTCCGGTCTCTGTCTTTTTATCCCCATCAAGCTTAGATTTTGATGCAATGGGTTAGCTTCTGATGAGTTTGTGTACAATGGGTGTGTTTAGTTTTCTTAAAATTCGTGGTGGTTTGTTCTGTTTCTTCGGAGACTAATTCTTGATCTTTTTGGCTTCTTGTGTTTGTTCTCTTATGGATTTTTGGTCATAA